TAAGAATCATTAACAGTTTTTAGATTTTGCTGGAGAGGTCGTGTTTCCCTGAAGTTGTGTGTGAATTTCATGAGGTTCTACCTCTCAAGATTTCGCTAATTCATTGTAGTAAAGTTGTTTTTATTCTTTTTAATTTCCATTTCAAAGACTTTTAAGGTTTATTTTAGTCACCTGTGTGTTTATCATTTATCAAACCATCCATCAAGAATTCTATTAAAAGACAGGATTTGCAGATTTTACCATCAGTTTACGGTTATCGGTTCAAGACCTCACCTGACACCTCGAGTGTTCAGGTGCTGTCTCAGTCTGGTGATATGTTTTTCCCTCCTGCGACCTACTTTTTCGTCAGAATTTCTGGAAGACATCAGACGAGACAGGTCAAGGACAGAGGTTGAGTTTTAACTCCCGCCTCTATCTCACCTGTTATCTTGCCTGTTTTGAGTGTCGTTACGGAAGGTCACTTGACCCTTGAGGCGTATTTATGGTTTCCTTCTTAGCAGAACTGTCACTCGTTAATTACAGGTCTTTTTTTTGTCAGTTAATCTTTGAGCTATGTTGGTTCATCCGTGTTAAATGCTTATTATGGCATTCCTGTTTGGAAATGTTTCACGGTCTTTGATAGGATGTTGCCACATAGTCTCTTTCCCAGTGATGGATACCCTTCGTATCGATGCTGGAATTATTTATCGCCCGTGCCATCCCCCTTGCCCCAGCGGCCAGTACAATGAGTCCAGGACAACCCCGTTCATCTGGGATCAATTAACCCAGGCAGGCAGGCAGGCTCAGCCGAGTGCCCGTTTTCTGACTATGCTCAACATAATGATAGGCTTTCAACCAGTAATGCCTTTGTTCTGGATGGGTCTGTTTGTTTTCTTCCTCTGGTCAGATGCGAGTTTCAAGGGGGTGCATCTGAGAAGGTCTATTTCTGCCCTCTTGTTTTCGGGTCTTTTGAGTTTCCATCGCGTTTGAAGTCTCCTTACTTAATTAAAACTTAGGGTTGGCGATCATGAATGTGGCTGAGAATGCCATGCAGAATGGCATCATGGGTAGAGCAGCGGTTGGAATTTGATGTCAGAAACCCCAAATCGCTCCTCAAATGTTTCCCTTGTTGATTTTTCCTCTTTTTTTTTCCCCCCACTGTTTGTGTTCATTCCTTCCCTACTCCTATATTGAACTTTTACTTGGATCCCTTGAGGTATTTTCGAGGCTCGTCAGTCAATTAATTCTTTCTACCAGTTACTCTTTTGTTTTTCAGAAATGGGTTTTGAATTACAACCAGTTCCACTTAACAAAAGGAAGTAATAATGCATCACTCTATGACAATAACTTCACGCTATAACTTCAGGGAAGACGTCAGTCTGACGTGTTTTCGGTAATTCCTGCAGAAAGGTCAAACGCCTTCTGATGCCCTCGGTTGTTCTCATATTGACCCCATAATCAGCCAGTGGGAATGTGTATTACTCAAGTCATTGACAAGTACAAAACAGTGAACATCCAACTTGAAAATTAACATTTTTTTTTTCTGATCTTACCAAAAATAATTTTGCACTAAATCAGAACCAGAATTTGATATGATGAGCACAGTCTCAATCAGGACTGAATTGATCAAACATGACTGACTGACTGACTCTGGGATCTCAACTCAAAGCTTTGCAGCTCATAACTCCCTGACAGATGCTTGGACACACCCCATGTTCTGCTGTCTTACACCCCCAAGAGAAGTCCATCATCTTTGTCCCAGTTGAGTTAAGCCGCCTGTTTCATGGGCAGTTTTCAGGTTTCAGGTGCTGTAAACAAACACAGTTTTCTTTAATAAAGTAATATAAGGAACGTTGGAGGCATGTTGCTTGCTTCTGATGTGCATCACACACAGGAAAAGACGGAGTGAAATGCTGCAGATAGGTAGAGGTGACGCATTTCAAACTTTTAGTACTTGGCCTCAGGCAGCTTTCTAACGGCCAACTTATGAGAGGCAGATGGTCACTTACCCGACATTGGCACGAACACACGCTCGTTCCAATTTTCACTTCCCAGACTTTTCAAAATATATCTGAGCTGATCGTCTCATGGTGCCTTCTGCTTCCAAACACTTGTTAAATGTAAATGTTTCTGTAAGATTCAGACTAACTTGGTCGTACGGTCACGCAACCTCTACGGTATTCCTACGCACAAGTGCCCCCACGCTGAGCTCTGTCCGACTCAAGCAGCTGATCTGCGGGGTAATACGGTGCACGCTGTAGTTGAGCTTGTGCAGTGAGAGTTTTCAAAATAAAGTGTAAACTTCAAAAACACGTCCCCTCGTACACCCTGTGCTCCCGGCGGCTTCTCTATACTGGGAGAGCACTGATCTGAATTTAATGCAGGTAATGCACCGACTATAAATAAGTACCTCACACACCCTCACGTCAAATAACTATCATTTAAACATTTTAAACAGCAATGTTGTTTCCAGGCCTGTGCAAGTCTCTTTAAAGTGTATCATTCTCTGTAAATCTGTAATGAATTGAGAGAACGAGTTGAGAAACAGTGTTAAATGCAGATGAGTCACGTCTGCAGAGTTTGCCGGAATCTCATTGACCCTAGTGGCACAATTGGCGAGGCTTTACAAATACCAAGCGTGTTTGATACGGACAGAACTTGCACAAGACAGGGTTGCGGTGGTCGGGAGCAGCAGTAGTCGACCTTTTCACAGCATGGTTGTGATGAGGCGCTGTCAGACATGTATCCGGGCAGTTTGACTTGAGGCCAGCCTCTCTGTGAATGGGCTGCCTCTGCCGTTTGTTCGGGTAAACGTCCTTGATCGGTTGTTTTTACCGGCAGCTCTATAACTTAAGATCCTGCACCGCTGTCAGTCAACCTGCTGCGATCGTTGACCCCAATAAAGTGAACTAGTCAGTTTTACAGTTCATACAAACTTATGCAAGAGTTTGTGTGTGTGTGTGTGTGTGTGTGTGTGTGTGTGTGTGTGTGTGTGTGTGTGTGTGTGTGTGCATGCATGGCTAAAAATAGCCAGCAGGCCTCCAGTTTGTGTGTTTTGCCGACGGCGTTTACAAGGTGCCGAGTGCATATCTCTTTCATCGTTCTCAATTAAGCAAAGTTTGAGTGTGTGTGCGCGGGTGCGCGCGTGCATGTGTGTGTGTTATCTAAACACTTTCTTCCGTCAGGCCATAGGGGCCACGTTCCAAGAAAACGCCTCCAGTGTGCATGGCGTCCTGACATGCATGGAAATCTAAGTGAATCTGGACATTTTGATCATTAAAACAGAAATAGAAAAGCACCCGTTGCTTTGCTGTGTAAACACGACCGTGTTTGTGCCAGGCTGTTGTGACATGGACAGAGTGTGCATTGTTTCAAGGTCATGCCAGTATTTATAGATTAAAACTTTGTGCTCATTGTGATCATTGTTATTTGACAAATATTCTATAATTGGCAGTTTGCATGCCGAGAGGAGGAGACTTCTATTTCCTACAACTCCCCTGATCCCTCACTATTTCACAACATCATCAAACTCCGTCTTTTGTTACTGTTTTGATTGAGAGCAACTCAAGTGCATTGAACTTTATTTGATTTACACTTTGTCTGATTTCATTCAGACAATGAAATTAAAAGGAGATTTAATCACAGTTTTTGTTTCAGGCTTTTCCTTCGAGTCACATCCACCTCTTTGTTGTAATCGGATCTCGTTAACGACGTTCCTTAACACAGTAACAACTAATGCAACCTTAATAATGAACACCAGTAACACCACTACCAACAAGAACACAAACAACAACAACCACATCAGTGACACCGCCGACATTACCAAAAAGAACAACATCCTGAAGTTAGATGGTTTAGCACTTTGCATAAGCAGGACTGAAGCTACAGTATATTACCCCCCCCCCCCCCCCAAGATTCTGCAACCACTGGATTTTCAGAACTTGCAGAGTAATAGATGTTAATAGCTGTGTGTAAAATATTGTCACAGCTGGATCAGTTTTGCAGAACTGATATATTTACCTCGTTCCCCAGGAAAAGAAACGCGTCTGTAGAAATTCAGATTCAGAATTTACTGGCCAAGAAGTTAATGTTGCTTCCTGTGGAGCTACGACCTGTCCGGTCTGTAACCCTCGGCCCTCTGGAGACCTGTCAGGATCTGACCTGAGGGCCGGCTGCGTGTGTGTGTGTGTGTGTGTGTGATAATGATGATGTTTGATCATTGTTATTACTATAATATCCAACGTTTGCCCATCAGCAACTCCTTGATCCTTGACCTCGAATGACCTGCTGAGGCAACTTTTTTATATCGCGCCGTGTTGTGACGGGCGGACAAGAGGAAGTCATTAGTGGCCCTGTTCCTGTTCACCGCCCAGGAGCATTATGGGTGGGGGAGCTGGTGTCTGGGCGGTGGACAAAACTTGACGCTTCCTGTCTCTTCTACTGCTGACTAGACATCTTTTTTTTATTACTTTTTTTTAATGTGTATTTGTGTGTGTGTATGTGTGTGTTATGTAGTTTTGGGGTGAGCGTGTGTGTGTGTGTGTGTGTGTGTGTGTGTGTGTGTGTGTGTGTGTGTGTGTGTGTGTGTGTGTGTGTGTGTTTCCTTCAAGGAAAAAGACAACCGTCTCTGGAGGTATTCCTCCACGCTGACCTGGCGGCTGACCTCTGACCTGTAGGGTAGGGTGTGGGCCCTGATGACACGGAGGTCTTCCGGGTCATTATCAGTTTGAACAAAAGCAGAACAGCCAGTCAGCAGCTCTGCGTTGTCTTGTTACGTCATCATCTGTGTCCCTTTGTTTCTTTTCCAAACACATTTGATTGGTGGAGGCGACGCACAGCCACCATTAATATCTAATACATGAATTGCACCTTTAGAATAACTAGAAAATGAATTTCCTCATGAGATGACATCCAAATGTTTTGACTCCTCCCTGTTTTTAAAGTATAATTACTGTGTGTGTGTGTGTGTGTGTGTGTACATTGAATTCAGAAGCTAATGCTCGTACTGTGTGTGTTTCCAGATGTATGGGCGCTACACGCAGGAGCTCGGGGTGTACGCCAAAGAGGAGGCAGCTCGGCTGAGGGAGAGCGGGCAGAGGCGGTCGGTCAGCGATCGGAGCCGGGCCCTCGACCTGCTGGAGTACGACAAGGGACGCTGTGCCAAGTGCCGCAGTAAGTTTCAACGCCACCAGGTCGAAACGCTGGAGTCGGAGGGTCGGGGCGGCTCCTGCTCAGACAGATCCACTTGAGATGGAAACTGGTTCCGTCAGTTTTCCTAATTGTTATACAGTTGATGTCCGAGCGGCACGGTGGCGCAGTGGTCGTCACTGTTGCCTCACAGCGATATAAAAACCCAAGTCTCTGGTTTCAGTCCTGCCCGTCGTGGAGTGTGGAGTCGGTGTGAATGTGAGCGTGAATGCTTGTTTGTCTCTATATGACTGGTGAAGTGTCAGCTGGGATTGGCTCCGCCGGGGGAAATCTACAGGAACAATATCAATCTGTTCTTTAGGCTCGTCGCTGGGGGGGCGGAGCCACGTCAACATTTACACATTTGATTTTCACGTCATCAAATAAAGGGGGGAAAAAAAAAATAATCAAGATGTTCTAAAAAAAAAACCAAAACAATAATCAATAAACAAACTGTTTGATAAACCCCTCACACTGTGTTGATGAAGTGAATGGAGAGCCTCGTACCGGGGGCCGTGAAGACGCCCGTTGGGTTAGAGGTGAGACGTCTTCACGTGTCCACAACCGAGTCCAACTTCTCTCGGGCGGCCGTGACCTGAGCGACTTGTTGATGAATAGTTTCCTCCTCTCAGCCATTCCTGTCAGACATTGTAGATTAACGAGTTAAACAACAAACCTCCCGGGCAGGTTGCAGCAGAGGCCTGTTTTTAAACCACGCAGCACTATCGAGCTGCCCATCATTCTGCACGTTTAATGCTTTAAAGATCCACAACATGTAAAGTGATTATATGCGAGGGGCAACCGGACTTCACCTCTCGTCTTCGGGTCACCGCACTGACCCTCCACATCGCTGCTGAAGACTGTGGTGTCTCTCACTCTGCTCGTTTTGGAGGCGGCTGGGTGGAGGTCTTTAATACTTGGGACACAAAAACAGGAAATAATCTCCTCGCTAATGGTCCTCGTGATGACTCGGTTCAGGAAAGTCATGCAATTTTACATCACAAGCCGCGGCGGTAACCGTCGGGATTAGATAGAACATTATATCTGCCCCATTAAAGGGAAACAGTAACAGTATCCGCTCCATAAAGCAGCCTGAGCCGTCTCCAGCATCACTGCCCTGAAGGGGGAACATCATTTGTACATTACCTCAGCGTTGGAAATGTAATACTGAAGCACTTAATGCTTTACCGCTCTCTGCTGTGGGAGCATTGATCAGGCTGGACACCGGGACAGAAAAGAAAAAGCTGAAGAACGATGTGCGGACGACATGTTGGCGAATCCAGCGTTTAAACGCACGGGTGGTTTCATGTGCCCCCCACCTCTCTCTTTGTACTGTTGCTAGTAATAATAATAATTATGTGTGTGTGTGCATGCATGCGTGTGTGTGTGTGTGTGTGTGTGTGGCAGATAATATTGAGATTAGATAACATTGTGTATAGGACACAGAACAGGATAAAACAGGCTGTAAACACATGTAGGAAATGTCATTTAAATTCCACGTGGCAGATAAAAGAATGTCACACACACACACACACACACACACATCAGTTTTACATGAAAGTCTGTCTCTTTATCAACAGTTTTATTGAAAGAACAGAGTAATTACAAACTGTTTATATCTCGCTCTTATTAAGGCAGTTCCCTCTTTTTCTTTTAAAAATCCACAGATTTACACATTAAAGAGTGTTTACAGGCGTTTACAGGCGTTTACTGGTGTTTACAGGCGTTTACAGGTGTTTACAGGTGTTGGGGAATATCACTGCATGTGTAAAAAAAAAGAAAGAAAGAAGTTGTATTAAATCTTCCTTTAGGTGCAGAAGAAGCTGAGCGGTCTGACAAATTAGTAACATCTCTCCAGTGATCGTCGGGTCGTGTTTGTGGCCTTGATGAAAAACCTTACGAAGGATTCCCGCTCTCACTCACTGATCCTGTGACTGTGTGCTGAATTTAATCGAAGGTCAGAGTCGCAGCTCATTGAGTCTGTGGTAAAAACAAACGTCAGATGCTCATATCGAACATCGAAAATACGTTACAAAGAAAGAGGACTGTGGCTTTTGTCCCCCATCACTTCCATCGGTCTGAGTGCAGGTTGTGGGGAGAGACTGACGTTCACGGCATCTTTTTTAAGCGTTTTGACAAAAAAAGTTTCACCCAGAACTTGAAGTTAATTTCGCCTCCGTCACATTTCTCCCTGTGTGTCTTAATGGTGACAATCAGAGTGACTGGATGAAGTCCTCTGCTGAAGTGCTGCTGAGCATCGATCTCCACTGGAGCTGCCGGTTGTGTGTCCACACAGTGCCCTCTGCTGCTGACAAGTAAACACTGCAGCCAGCGCTAATCACACACACACACACACACACACACCGTTCTAAATGCTGCAGATCTGTGTGTGTGTGTGTGTGTGTGTCCTCTGCTCTCATCTCAGTGATGAGTTTTGCTCTTGTTTCTCTGGCAGCTGATGAGTCAGCGATCCATGTCCCTCCTCCTCCTCCTCCTCCTCCTCCTCATCCTCTCATCTTCTCTGTAAAGATCAGGACACCAAAATGCCAGCGATTGAATTGATTTGTCGCTCAGGAGGTGGTTTAAAACATAAGAGATGCGGATCGCTCTGCGGCCACACACACACACACACACACACACACACACACACACACACACACACACACACACACACACTTTTCTCTCTGCATGAGAAAAAGGCAAATATAAACACACAGTGAGATAAAGGCATAAAACATGAAGCGACTGGCTGAAAATATATGTGAATATAAAACACACACACACACACATTCTTCTTCATTGCCTCTGTGGATTATGACTACAGCTGCTGTGGGAGACACACACACACACACAAACACACACACACGCACAATACACATACACAGTGTCACCCTGCTTAGATCGGCACAATCTCTCTTTATTGTTGCTCACTCACTATGTTTTGTTATTTATATTTTATACACACGCACACACACACACGCACACACACACACACACACACACACACACACGGGGAGACACAAACAGACATCTTCCTATTCATTTGCTGGTGTTTAATGATGCTGAGTGGTGCAGCCAGCATCCTCTGTCTCTGTAGGAGCTGTCATCACTTCAACTGTGTGTGTGTGTGTGTGTGTGTGTGTGTGTGTGTGTGTGTGTGTGTGTGTGTGATATGCTGGTGCGACTCCAGGCGTTGTTCATGGTGAAATGTAATGACAGCAGAGCAGCTTGGACAACAGGTAGCGTCTCTTTAATCACGGCCAGCGGAGTGTGTTTCAGTCACATGATGCTGCTGGCAGCTCGGTCGACAGTCAGCCTGTTGATATGTATAAAGTGTCAGATTTAATCCTTGTCAAATCTTGTGGAGCAGAATGAGAAGTGTGGCTTTTTTTTTTAAATAAATAAATATATATTTCTTTTTTTTTCTTACTTTCAGGAACTGGTGGAGAATCACTTTAATTTAAATAAGATTATATCACTAGAATAAATTGCAATTTTTCAAACGCTTATGATAAAGGAAACAAATCTAAAGCGACTTTTAAACCACATATTTAAATATATAACATTGTAAATTAATGTATTATAATGAAGCGGTTTATGTTTTTTTATTACGTCTTAAGTATTAAAACTCTATCTTGTCTGCCTGACGTCTTTAAACCCTTTTTTCTCATCTTCAGTTTTTCTGTAGTTATTGGTCTCTTATATTTACTGACACTACAATAATGTATGTACAAGATTTACCTTTCTGTGCGGGGCCATTATCTTCTACAAAATATAAACTACCACATCAGACACCAGTCATGTAGGTGTAGTCAAAACCTCTTTCGACATCAAAAATGTGTTTCATAGCAACAAGAAAATCCAACAGAAACTCTGAATATGTGCCAGTAAACTTTTCCGGAGCCATCGTTGAAAGGAAATCAAGAAAAGTTTTCCCGCTGTTAGTCTCTGTGATATTCTCTAATATTCTAGGTGTAGAGGCAGAACCCCTTTAAGTTTGGAGCCTGTATAATCCCACACACGCTCTCGCTGTGTTTAGAGGAAGTGAACGGTAACTTTATTCTCACTTGTCCAGCCCTGAAGTCTTTGACATGTCGACAGCTTTCTACAAAACACTGCAGCAAAGCTCAGAACCTGAACCAGGATGCGGTTCCTAAGCTCAGGATAAGACTTGTGAAGTTCAGAATTGATTTACTTTCACTTTTCTTCTTTTGTTTTTTTAGCTTTCAACCGGTGACTTTTAAGGCTTAGCTGGTTCTTCCTCCCCTCCAGCTATACCCCACATCTATCATTCACTTATAAGGCAGAGCCCAGCCTTGCATCATCAGCCAGAGCACCTTTGCCCTTTGCAAGAGCTGTGAAAAAGCTGAGTGGGTCTTTTTCTAAAGAGCTGTACATTTCAGCTCCGAGATCAGACAATCCGAGCAACTTGTTTGGAATCACTATTAGAAAAAGAGACATTTATGGATGACTCACGATGCGGTGAAGGTGCTTCCTGAGTTCAGGAAGTTGCTGTTCTTTGCAGTTTCCTGACTACGGGGGTTTCAGCAGGTTTAAGTCAAATATTTAAGAGCCCACTCGACATAATGTGATCTTATACGAGACCTCGAATCCACAGGGTGAGAAAGGAGTTGAGGCTGACAGGCATTTTAAATTTAAACAGCCGTTTACGTGTATGATGATGATGATGAATGATGATGCACAGTGTGAAACTTCTTCCCCTATGGCGTGGCGATGTGGTGAAGTAGCACGGGATCATGGGAGTTGTTGTGTTCACCGTTACGTCAGACAACTTCTCCCAGTTCGGATTCCTTCAGTGTCAGTGGTTCAGGAGGTTTTTAACCGCAGCAGAATTATCCACAGAAGTCTCCTCCCGTCCAAAACAAACAGACCGGGGGATTAAAAACCAGTAGACAAACACAGAATAAAGCAGTTACACGTTAAAAATCTGTGATTTCACAGACGCTTTTCGGCGAAGGCAGGAC